TGCGCGTGCCATGTTTCGTGCATGTGTGTGCTGTGTGCGTGCATGCGTGCGCGGCATGTACATGCGTGCTGCATGTCTGAGGGCTGGGACAGCAGCTGGCAGAGGGGCTGCGGCGGAGGAGCAGGCTAGAAGCTGCCAGCTTTTCAGGTCACTGTCCCTAAATTCTTAATCCGGCGGAGGCTGTGCGGGGCCTTCGCGGTGCAGCTGGGGCCCAGCCTTTCTCCATCAGCCGCTGTGCTGGTGCGGGCACTCAGGCTGGTGTGGAGAGGGAGGCTTCTGGCCACTTTTGGGGGGTCTCAGGACCCTGGGGGGGTGACGCTCTGGGAGTTGTGTTGAGGAGAGGGAGCTGAGTGGAGCTGCCTCGGGAGGGGCCCCAGTGCTGCCTTTCCCGGGACGCGGAGGAAGGGCCGGGCCAGGGTGGGACCGGGTCCGAGCCCAGCCCCGGGCCCAGCTTGTGTGCACAGTCAGGCCAGAGGGGCCTGGCCAGGCACCGCCACCCTCCTGGCGCCCTAGGGCATGCGGAGGGCGCTGGGCCAGGTTGGGCCAGGGAACGCTGGAGAGTGCTTAGAGGGAGACATTTCGCAGGACCCAGCCACCCCTGAGGAGGCTCATTTAGCTTTTAAGAATTTAAGGACACCCTAAAAGGGTCTTGCAGCCCCTCGTTGTCTAAAGTAAATGCGCTAGGAAATGGGGGGCGCCTGCCTTTCTGGACTGGAGGGGAGTTTCCTATGTTTGATCTGTGCCCCCAACACCCGGCAGCTGGCATTCCCGGCCCCCTCTTGAGCTCCACGTGGGTCGGCAGTGGCTGGGCTCCTGGGGCCTCCCTGGTTTGGGGGCGCCTGCGTGCGGAACCCCAGGGCCGGGGGAGCTGCAGGGAGCCACCTGTCCCGCTGCGTCCCCACAGCTCTGCTGCGTGAGTGCTCCCAGACATGGCAGGGCCCGGCCCCGGCCCTCCGGCCTCAGCCCTCCGGACTCAGAGGGGTCACGAAACAGTCAAGGCGCTTTTGTTCTGACCCCACCAGGAGCCCCCCTCACTCTCGAGACCTGGGCACGTGCTCGGCCGTCAGAGGGGGGTCCACGCTCCTGCGTGATGCCGGGCGTCTGAGGCAGTCGGGACCCTGAGAGCCACACCCACGGGGCCTGCAGGCACCCCTGGCCTCTCAGGTCTCAGGGTGCCTCTGGACAGGGCCTTCCACCCCGCGGGCAGCGGCTCCTGCTTAAAGGCTGCCTGGCAGGACGATTCTAACAAGACCCCGATCTTTGGTGCTGGATTTATGTTTTGGTCACTGATGTTGGGCTCGGTCCCTGCCTCCGGCCCTTTCTTCCCCACAGTCGTCTGTGGATGCATAAGCCAGCTCCTGTTTGTGTGGACCCCCAACAGTGAGACCCTGGGGTCCACTTGGCCACGTCTGCCCCTTGGCATACTAACTGGAAGCTCAGGGGCACAGTGAGGGTGAGGGACGGGGTTAGAAGTGGGTCCCAAAGAACGGGGCATGGCGCGCAGGGGAGAGGCAGGTGGGAAGTGCCCCGAGGTGCGCGGGTGACGGCGTGGAGAGCCAGTCCTGCTCGGCGGCCTGGGCACCTGACGTCCCTGCGGCCAGCGAGGAGTGTGGGCTGGCGGCCCCTGGGACCTCCAGCGGGTATCTTGCTCCTCTGGTTCCAGGGTCACCGCCGTGTCCGTGGCTGCGCCCCAGGGACCCTGAGTCTCCGGCTGGGCCTCGGGGACCGTTCTGCCGGGTGCTGGGACTCCGACTCCTGAGTCATCTGTACTTGTCACAATCGGCCCAAACCACGAGTGCGCCTCAGGCAACCTGCGCCTGAAATTAAACCCCAGGCGAGTTCGCGAGCACAGCCCCAGCAGCCGCTCCAGCGCGGCGGCCACACAGCCCCGCAGGCACGAGAGCCGGCTCCGGAGCCCAGCGCGCCCGGCAGTGGTCCGTTCTCGGCCCAGTGGACTCAGGAAGGGCGTCTACCTGCCTGCAGGGGATGCTGAGGACTGCCAGGGCCGTCCATGGAGGCTGCACGCCCTGGGGTCTGGCCCCTGCACCCCGGCTGGGGCGGTTCGTGCACCCCATTGCTGACTGACTTTGGGGCGCCTCTTTGGGGCTCCCCTATGCACAAAATCCACTTTTCTCCTGTTGATCTGTCATATGTCAATTTAATTACTAGGCCGGCCAAAGAACCTAGGAGGAAAGGAAGGAAACCGTTCCCTGCGGCCCGAAAGGGTGTTTCCTGACTTCCTCCCCCCGCACGCCCCCCTTAGACGAGTGCTGAAGTCACGGCCCCCCGGGCTCAGCGTGAGTGTCTGTTGAATGAATAACCAAACGGTCTTTCCTTTCTCTACACAGTCTGGCGTCCTAAAAAGCCTCCACCTGTTGTTATTTTCATCTGCCATGTTTCGGGTGTGAGCGCTGAGTAATGATGATGTGTCGCTGATGCTTTTTGAGGATAAACATTCTGCTTTGTAGATTTTATCAGGTAAAACCCCACTGAGTTTAGAAATCAGCATCGAAACTTTTTTATTTAAATTTGTTTATTCTCATGTGGATGGTCTCCGTCTACCTAGAACGATGTTGAGGGTAAAACATAGAAACAATCGCATTTCTTTGTTTCAGTCTTTCTTCCTTTCATCCTCGTCATTTCTGTAGAGCGGGCGAGATGCCGGGGAGGCTCTGGGGGCCGCACCTACACCCCGCCCTGCCCAGGAAGCCGCGCACCTGGCCGGTGAGTCAGGGCGGCCGGGCACTTCCTGCCCCGCCGGTGCCGGCCCAGGGGCGCAGCGCGGGGTCCAGGCCCGGGTGCGGGCCGGGCTCGGGCTGTAACCCGTGGACAGCCCGGGCGGGCTCCGCAGGGCGCTTCCCAGGCAGAAGGTGTGGCCCAGTGGCCGCAGTGGCCAAGCTGGGCCCCGCCCGAGGCTGAAAGGACGCGCGTCTCGACCCGCGAGGGCCGCGCGCCCCTCGAGTAGAGGCCACCAGGGCGGCCGGCCCCCCCAGGTCCCCCCTCCGGGGACAGTCCCGGTGAGACGGGGCTCCGCAGACCTGCTCCCTCCCCAGGGGGGGCCGCAGGCGCCCCAGCCCCGCCGGGTGGGGGGCTCCCAGGGGAAGGGGGCGCTTGCCAGCGCTCAGAGAAGCCGGGCTCCCAGGCAGGGGGAGCAGCAGGGGGGCGCCTGCGGGGCGGGGGTCAAACGCCGGGCGTCTTCAAGGGAAATTAACGAGGGCCCTGCGGGGGGGGGGGGGGGGGAGAGGGGGGAAACCGGCTCTGCGCCGTCCAGCCCCGAGAGGGACAGCGCGGCTCTCCCCGCTCCCCGCAGGCGCCGCGCGGGGAGGACGCACGGCCCGCTCAGGTCCGTGGGGTCCGCGGCCGGGGCGCCGCGCCCGGTGAGCTGGGGGGCCAGGCCGGCACCGCCCCCCGCCCCGTCCAGTCTCGCGGACAGAGCCGGGCGGCCGCGCCCGCCGGCCCCGCGCCCCGCCGTCCTCCCCCCGCGCCTCCTGCCTCCGCCCCCCCCCCCCCCCCCCCACCCCCCCCCCCCCCCGCCAGCCTCTCCCCCGCCGGCCTCTCCCCCCCGCGCCGGCTCTCCCCCCGCCGCCGGCCTCCCCCCGCCGGCCTCTCCCCCCCCCCGCCTCTCCCCCCCCCCCCGCGCCTCCCCCCCCCCCCCCCGCCTCTCCCCCCCCCGCCGGCCTCTCCCCCCCCCCCCCCGGCCTCTCCCCCCCCCCCCGCCGGCCTCTCCCCGCGCCGGCTCTCCCCCCCCCCCCCCGCCGGCCTCTCCCCCCGCCGGTCTTGCTCCCGGGCCGCGGCCGACAGACGCTTCTCCCGAGGCCCGGCGCGCGCCCCCCGGGGCCCCCCCCCAGACCCCCCCAGGCCGGGGGCGGGCGCGCGCCAGGCCCCTCCCGACACGGGCAGCGTCGGGCTGAGGTGAGAGACGCGCGCGGGGTGACGCCCCAGGCCCCCGGGCCGCGTCCGGACCCCCCAGTCCGCACCTCGGCGGCCGCGCGCGCCCCTGGTGGGAGCCGCCCAGGGCCCGGCCTCGCCGCCCCGACCCTCGGGCTCGGGGGCCCCCAGGAGGGGCCGCCGCGCTGGACCGTGGCCGTCCCGCGCCCCGGGGGCTGCTCTGAGCGGGCCTCGGCGACGCCCCGACTGTCCCGACTGTCCCGACGCCCCCGGTCCGCGGCCGGCCGCAGGCGGCGCGTCCAGTCCTTCCCCGCGCGGCGCGTTCAGTCCGTGCCCCCCCGCGGGCGTGTCGGGCCGTCCCCCCCAAACGGGCGTGTCGGGCCGCCCCCCACTCCGGCCGGGGCGCTGCGCCCCACCAAGAACCTGGCCGCGGCCGGACGCCGTTTCCCTCTGACCTTCTAGAAGGTTCGGCCCGGCCCCGCCCGCGCGCGCCCTCCTGACTTGCGGGCCGGGCCAGCCTCGGGGTCCCCGCAGCTCGGGCCTCCCGCCCCGCCGCCCCGGCTGCCCGCCAGCGCCGTCTCGCGGGGGGGGCTCGTCCCGGGCGCCGGGCCCCGAAGAGCCTCTCCCCGCGCCGCCCCGTCCGAGGCCCAGGGCCCACCCCGGGCCCGCGCCCCCCGCCCCACCCCCCGCCCCCCCGACCCCCCGCGCCCCCCGACCCCCGCCCCCTGATCCCCGCGCCCCTGACCCTCGCCCCTCGACACGCGCCCCCGCCCCCCGAGCCCCCGCGCCCCGAACCCGCCCCCCGACCCCCCCGACCCGCGCGCCCCGGACCCTCGCCCCTCGACACTCGCCCCCGACCCGCGCTCCCGGACACGCGCGCCCGGACCCCCGCGCCCCCCGACCCCCGCGCCCTGACTGACCCTCGCCCCCCGACCACGCGCCCCCCGACACGCGCCCCCCGGGGCCCGCCGCAGCGTCGCGGCTCGCAGGCCGTTGCTAGGGCCGCCCCAGCTCGCCCCGCGGCCGGCTAGGGCCGCTCTCGGCCTCCGCCGATGGCGTCACGCCCGCCTTTCCCGCCCTCCGTGAGGCGGAACTTCCGGCCGTTTCCAGCGCCCGGCGCGCGCACCGAGCGGGGGCGGCGCGGGAGGCGGAGGCCAGGTTGGTGGTGCCGGGGGCGCGGGGGCGCGGTGCTCGCGACCGCGATGTGGGGAGACGCGCGGGGACGGCCGCCCTCGGATCCCCTGCTCGGTCGCGCGGAGCCCGGCACGGGGGCGGGGGGCCCGGGCCGGGGGGCCGGGGCGCGGCCCAAAGCGGCGGGGCGGGCCCGAGGGGGCGGGACGAGAGGGCGGGGCCAGAGGACTGGGGGCGGGGCCGGGGGGGGGGCGCGGCCCAAAGCCGGGCTGGGGGCGGGACGGAAGGGGCGGGGCCAGAGGACTGGGGGAGGGGGCGCGGCCCAAAGCCGGGCTGGGGCGGGGCCTGAGGGGGCGGGCCGGGGGCGGAGCCAGAGGACTGGGGGTGGGGCCGGGGCCTGGCGGGGCGGGGCCTGAGGCGGGCGGGGCGGGGCGGGCCCAGTACTCCCGCCTCCTCGCTGAGCCGGCCCCGCCTCTGGTCCAGCCTCAGCCCGGAGCGCTCCAGTCCAGGGCTCCCAGCCCCGAGCCGAGCTGCCCGCCCTCCTGCTGGCCACTCTGCGGGCCTGGGCCTGGCTTGGGCCTGCTTCCTGGAAGCACCTGGTCGCCGGCCCTGGTCGCGGGGCTCGGGGGTCGGTGTCTCCAGCATCCTCCCGTGCCGGCCGGGCTGCCTGAGCCAGGCGGGGTCCACCGTGGCTCGCAGCTCGGACAACCCATCTCGTATCCCCGCAGGTGATGATCCGAGGTGAGGGCCAGGGGGTGGCCAACAGGACGCAGCACGTGGGACTTCAGCAGCTTTCGTCCTTTGCAGAGGCAGGAAGAACTTTCCTGGGCCCGGTGAAGTCTCCCAAATTCATCACAGATGGGGAGGGGCAGGAGAGCGTGCTGGTCACCTCCGCGGCCAGGCTCCTGGAAGGACTGGACCTGAGCGGCGCAGCCGGGCAGCTTCTCCGGGAAGCCATCCTGGCACACAGAGACATCTACGGGACTGGGGTCAGCACCCTGCTGTTCCTCGTGGGCGCCTGGAGCGCCGCGGCTGAGGAGTGTCTGAACCTGGGCGTGCCCGCCCCTGTCATCGCCACGGTGATGGAGGAGGGCTTGAATGTCTGCATGGACGCAGCCATCTCCCTCCAGGCCCCTCTCCACCAGGTCTCCGCCCACCTGGACAGCACATGGATGCTCTCTGCTCCGGAGACTTGCGGTGTCAGCCTGTGCCCATGTCCCCCCATGGCGCCCAGCCCGGCCAGCTGCAGGGAGAGCCTGCTGTGGGCCACCTCGCCGCGCGGTCACCGGCCCTCCCCCGTCTCCCTGGCACTCATGTCCAGTCTCCTACACTCCACAGAAGGCAGACTGAGACCAAGAGAAGTGTGTCTGGAACCCCGAGAGACAGTCTGCCCGTGGGGGCTCGCTCCAGAGAGCCAGCCCTGACCCGCAGCCGGCACTTCTGGGGGGCAGGTGGCGGCGAGCGGGCCAGCCAGCCCCAGGGTGCGGGGGTCTGCAGCGCGGCCATGGAACTGGGCCTGAGCCACGGAGACCCCAGCAGCATGCGGCTGGCAGGAGCTGCAGCCCGGCTGCAGGGCCAGAGTGCCCCAGCGCCCCGGGACGGCACCCCGGCCTGTGCATTCGACCTCGCTCGGGTGGTCACGTGCTGCTTGCCAGGCCTGCCCGAAGCTGCTTCTCACGTCTGCCCGGGGTATGTAGCTGTTGTGCCGGTCGCCAGTGCCACTGTGGCCCAGGAGCTGCAGGGCCGGCCCTTGCGTGTCGTTCTCCTCGAAGGCGATCTCACAGAAAGCTACCGCCACCCGGGGTTCAACCCATCTGCGAATATCAGGACTGTGCTGGGCGGCACACGGGGGTTGCAGGACAGCACCGAGGAGCCCTGGGTAGATTGTATCTTGCAGGTGCTGGCCCAGTTCCACGTGGACCTGGTGCTGGCACGGGGGCACGTGCCCGAGCCACTTGCTGAGAGGTGCGCTCACAGCGGGCGGCTGGCGGTGGGGGCAGTGGGCGGCCACGTGCTGCAGGCTTTCGCAGAGGCTTCGGGAGCCACGCAGGTGACCTACCTCACGCAGGTGGACGGAGGCTGTGTGGGCAGTGGTGTGCGCGTGGCCCCCTGGTGCAGCGGTGCTGTGGGAGCTGCGGCTGGGGTGGCGGTCACGCTGCACGCGGAAGGGATGTGCCTGGTCACGGCTGTGCTGACCAGCCCCATGGCTGCACAGATGCAGAGCAGGGCCGACCGCTTCTGGGCCTGTGCCTGCCGCCTGTACCACGCGCTGCGGGAGCAGAAGGTCTTCCTGGGCGGGGGCGCCCTGGAGCTTTGGTGTTTTCGCCAACTCCAGACCCTGGCAGAGCAGGCAGGCGAGGGCAGGCCTGCCTGCTGTGGGGGCCTCCCAAGTGCCGCCTCCTGGCTGGCATCCTCACTGGCGCAGTACAGGCCTGCCGTGCTGGGCAGCCTGGCCCACGGCTGGCACCGCTATCTATGCGCCCTCCTCTGCAACACCGCCCGCTGCTCGTCAGAGCTGGAAGCCAGTTCGCTCGTCCAGCGCCAGCTGCAGAGGGTCACGCGCTCCTGCTCACCTCCTGCCGGCGTGTTTAGTGAAAGCAACGAGCCCAGTGCTGGGAGAATGGATGCAGGCGCCTGTGCCCTGGGGGAGGCGCCAGGGGTCTTTGACGCCATCACACCCAAGCTGGAGGCCTGGCGCCGTGCTCTGGACGTGGTGCTGCTGGTGCTGCAGACAGACAGTGAGGTGGTCACTGGGCCTGGGCGCACGCAGCTCAGTCCCCAGGGCCCAGAGGGCCTGTTGTTCCTGTAGCATTGCTGCCTGAGTCTTTGCAAGGTCGTCCGGGGTAGCGCGGCTGCTGACAGACTCCCTGATGGCCGCGTCGAAGCCCCTGGATTCCAGCTGTCCCCAAGAGGAAAACAGCGGAGTCTGAGACTTTGGCTGCTTCACGCTGACCACTGAGCCCGCGCTGGCCCTCAGGCACCCGGGAACACATGATGCAGGGAGAGCGGCTGTGCCGCCCCAGGGGCTTGGGCGGCCAATTCCGCGAGGCCCTGCCAGGCAGGATGAGGGAGTGGCCGGGAGTGGCCGCTTCCACGGGGAGTGAAGACGCGCCTCATCCAAGGCTCAAGGCTGTGAAGTCTGCACGCGGCCAGACAGCAGGCTGGGCCCAGAGAGCCAGGTCCTGCATCCGACACCCCAGAAAGTGCACAGGAACCCTCAGCTCCCGACACCCCCTGCTCCACCGGTGCTGGCTGGCTCGTGTGTCCCTGGGGCAGCCCCCTGGCAACTCAGGTCGTGTGGAAGGAGGTTGTCCAGTCAGCACCACGCGGCGCCACTCCTGGCAGTTAATAATTAAGGCTCTTGTCAGCCGCTGGGTCATCCAGTCCGCGCTTGGGGCCGCAGTCTGGCCCTGTTCTGAGCCCAGTGGCCACCGGCCCTGAGGAGCTGGGGTCTATCTACCGGCTGTGTGAGAAGAGGGCGGCCGTGGGCCTGGCGGCAGGACCGTGGGCCGGGCGCGGGCTCTTCGTGTGGCCACGTGGGCCACGTCGACAGGAGAGGCCGCGCGTGAGGGCACACGAAGGGATGGTGGGCCGGGGGCTGTGTCCCCGTGTCCAGGAGACCCTGCCCACTGCTGCTGGGCGGTGTCTGTGGCCTCCGGCTATTTAAGACAGTCCAGCTCTGAGACTCTCCTTAGTTTACGTCCACGTTTTATCCAGGGAGTTAAGAAGTTAGACAAAATAAAAAGAAAACTAAGAGGACCTTGAGTTCCACCACAGAGCACGTGCAGAGTTTTGCTTTCCCCGGGCTTCACTGTAATCCGTTTCGGCCGTCGCCCGCCAGCCCTCCCTGAGCCAGCGCGCTTCTCGCCCCGGCTGCCGCGGCTTGCCCTGCAGCCGTGTGTGCGCCTCACGCTTGGCCCCTCAGGAGCTGGGGGTTTGTCCCGCCCTTTCGTCACTTCATAGCCCCTTTCGTGTGTCCTTAGCTCTGCGCATTTGTGAGACTGTGGTTTCCAGAAACGACTACGCTCCTGGGGTTCTGCAAAGTGTCCACGAGCTTTGCAAGGACGTGTGCGGGCATGGCCGAGCCCGCGGGGTGGGGCCAGGCTTGGCCTGTGCCCCGTGAGCTGCTCGCCTGCGGTGTCTCCAGACGGCCTTGTCCCTCAGGGGCGCCCAGACCGCGCGTCGGTGTTCTTTCGTCGGGGGTCTAGCTTACAAAGAAGGCAGGCATTAGAATCTGCCTGTGCGTGTCCAGTGGCCACGGCTACGGCCACGTCCACCAGCTCAGGTGCTTCTCTCGTGTGTCCAGCGATCTCGTCCGTGGCGCGGCATGCCCCTCTCTGGGTGGCCAGCTTTTTCTGACAGGCGGTGATGTGGAGAGGAGCCTGCTCTGCGGGTGGTGGGAGGCGGGAGGCAGGCCCCTCCCTGGCGAGCCCCGCCCCCAGGCTGTGGGAGGGGAGGTGCCCAGGCCTTGTCCTTGGCTGTTTCCTCACAGTCCTTGCTGCTGCACTTAATTTGCACCTTTTTTCTGAGCCCCTTTCGGGGTGTGGCTTCTGCTCTGTTTCTTCTCCTGAAGCCGTTTGTGGTGACGCTCGCAGCCTCGGGCCAGGCCCTCCCTCCCCGTGGGTGTTTGCGGTGCTCACCCCCCAGCGCTGACTTTACAGACCCCACTCCTGCCTGGAAAGTGGCTCTGCTGCCCAGGCGCCCGCCCGCCGCAGTGCCTGAGTGCCCTTTGGCACAAAAGAGAAACCCTGTCCCCACTTCTACCCTGCTCCTCAGTCCACCCTCACCTGCTGCCTGAACCTGCTGCGCCCCTCTGCTCTGCACTGCCCACCGGGGAGGTCCCCCTGGGATGCCCCCTGACGCCCCAGCAGGTCGAAGGGGGTCTGGAAGTACTGCCTCCCCGCTCCCCTGCAGAGAAGTCCCTCCCCGCGCCACTGCCCCCACCTGCTGCAGGGCCCCAGCTCCTCAGAGGCCCCCCGGATCTCCCAGGCCAGTCGCGTGGGCCCTGCCAGCTGTGAAGGGCCGAGAACGCGAAGCCAGCGGAGTATCTTCCTGGTGTCCCTGCCCCAGCCTCCTCGCGACAAGGGGCCTCCTGGCTGGGGCCAAGTGTGGTGTTCGGTTGCTTTAGGTCGTCACTAGATGCTGGGAACAGTGAAAATGGGACATACAGAAACCTGGAGGAAGGCTGGGTGGAATATAAACTAAGGTTAAAAAGGGTTAAGTCAGCGTTGTCAGTGACACAGAAATAGCGCAGCCCCCCTGCTCACCCTGTGCCCCCTGGGGTCCACCGGCCCTCCACAGGCGCGTCCTCAGTGCCCTCTGCGCCGGCCTGTCGGGTGTCCGGGAGCCCCGGGTGGCCCGCGAGACCCACGAGCAGCAGCTGAAGTCAGAGGCGCCGTGTAGGGGGACGGTCACCGGTGTGGGCTGGGCCTGGGGGCCTGCAGGGGCCACTGCCCTCGGGCACAGGGGCGCCCCAGGAAGGCAGCGTGGGAGCCCCAGGTCTGGGAGGCAGGCTGCGGGGCCCAAGGGGGAGCTGCTGGGGCAGCGCGTGAAGGCCAGAAAGGGCGGCGGGCGGTAGCTGGCGGCGGGCAGCGGAGGCGGGCGGGAGGCGCGGCTGCTGACAGTGAAGAGGGTGAAGAGCCTCGGAAGGCGGCAGGGACGCCAGCTCCTGAGCGGACGGGAGGGTGGCAAGAACCTCGTCAATCCGGGGAAAGTAAGGAACAGAAGAAAAACAGAAAAATACACAGTAAGCATGGAGAAACACGACTCAGCGTGTAGATTTTCCTACCAACGTGAACTATCAAAAGCCAAAAACTCACAGTTTAAACATCGAAATCAGTGACACTCGGCCCCAGACTGAGCCCCCACGGGATCCGCCCTGACCTCTGAGCAATGGCGGGCGGGGGAGGGGTGGGCAGGCGGGGCAGGGCGGTCACCCTCTCTCGGGGCCCCGGGCGGCCTGCACCGCGGCCACCCAGCGAGCAGCCCTGACCTCCGGGTGACAGCCACAGAGGTGACGTCACGGGGAAGAGCCGGGCCTGGCCCTCACCCTCCTCCCTGTTTAGCTGGAGAGTGGGCGGCGCCGGCTCCGGGGTGCCCACCCCACCCACCACACCTCCCCAAGGGGCTCCCACAGCCTCTCCCTTTGCCTCCGCTCCTGGACCTCACGAGGCGGGGCCTGCGGAGGCACCAGCCTCCCCCTCCTGCTTAGAAATGGGGGCGGGTGGGGAGGGGAGTCCTGTGGTCGGGGAGGCAGACCCGCCACGGCCAGCAGTCCCGGGCTCCCTGCCGCTGTGGGCTGCTGACCATCGTGCCCGGCGTGGACGGGCCCCAAACGGCGGATGGGAGACCAGCTGCACCACGTGAGTTCGTGGAAATCACGCTTGGTGTGACTGGCTCGACATTCAGGTCTCAAAATACGGATGCAGCCCTGGCCGTGACTGAGCAGAGCGGCTGGACGCCGGCTCCTGCGGGCGGGAGGGCTGGCTCTGCTCGGTTCCTGTGGGCCACCTGCTCAAGCAACACGCGGCCAAGGCTTCAAAGGGAGAAGCACGAGGGTGGGGTGAGGAGGCCCAGGGGCAGGGGCCGGGAGGCCCGAGGGCGCTGCTGGGAGGGCCAGGCCGCACAGGGCCAGGCCACATCTCGGCAAGCAGGTTGGCCCGGCTGCCCTGTCCTGCGCTCTGGGCCCG